ACTTAGGGTCCTTTTTAGGGTACCTTTTTTTATAAGGGTGGAGTACTATATTTTGGACCAAGAAGGGATCCTAGTTTTACAGAACGACCCCCATGTTCAAAACTTCGGGTTGCAAGGCTGGTTGTTTACACTCTCATACGATCATGTACACTGCAATACATTAAAGGTTGTTATGCCGAACTAGACTAGACTGCGATGCCATGCCATGATATAACATGCCATAGCATATCTGCTAGACATTTCTAAACCAGAACACACCATGGTATGCTCTACTGTACTATACTACCCTATCAAGCTAATAACTCTGACATGCCATCCATGCCGCTGTTGTAAGGAAGCCTAAACCCTAAACCCTGCAAGGAAGCCTTCAAGAAACCCAAACAGGAACCCTCGAAGCCTTAAAGCCCTAAGTTGGCCTGGTGCTCAGCAGGAAAACCACGGCTTGCCGCACCAACAAGCAGCAGTGCCTAACGTTTACACTGTCGGATTTGGGGCATTGTAGGGTTTAGAGTTTAGGGATTTGGAACTTTGCAGGGCTCAGGGGATCAATCTGAGAGTCTTGGCGGCTGTAGTGCTGCTTCTAGGGCTTCAAGGGTGTTGGGATATAGATCGGAAGAATTTATCACTGAGGAATTCATTGAAAGCCTGCACATCTTGCACATGTGTGGGAATCACCCGAAAAGGATACCCCTGAACTTGAAATCATACATCAATCGAACCTTTCCCTGATCTTTAATCCTCCTACAGTTCCTCGGTGCGGGATTGCCGCCTCGAGCAAAACTTATGAAACCCTGGTAAAGCCATGGAAAGCTCCTTGAAACAAGCTTGAGAAAACTGCTTAACGGTTGTGATGACTCAGTACTATTCTAGAAAATGAATGACTATCGCAATCTCCTAGAACCATTAAGGAAGCCTATCCACATACAGAGACCTAAACCGCTATAATAACACTTGAAGCAACTCTTGCAGAAACCTCCTTCAAACTTACGAGTATCTACATGATGACACTCGTAGAAACGTACAGCCAGAACTGTAGCACCCTCCAAGATCCGTTCGAGCCTTGACGGAACCTTCAACCCATATACAGCCCTAAAGCCTAAAACCAACAAAACCCTTGACCCTGAAAGTAACGGTTCTAGCAAGTCTTATGGACAAATCCGAAAACCAAAACCCCTGTAGCACCACGCAGATCCCCTAAAGGATGCCTTAAAGCAACACTCAAGGCCTTAAAGGAACCCTAAACCCTTACAGAGCCCGACAGCCTAACTCCAAACCCAAGTCCCTTAGCACTAAGCCCTAAACCTTAAGCCCCTAACCCCTCATAGAGCCCTAAACCCTATAGCACCCGTAAAGGATCCCAAAAAGCTCTTGAAAAGACCCCTTGAAGGAACTCCCTTTAAGGGCTCTTTAAAGTAATGGAGCCCTTAAGAGGATCCCAAAAGCCTTACCTAAACCCCCCAAAGTAGGCAACACAATGGCCCATCAACTACAAAAAGGGCCATTACCGGGTTTAGGGTTAACTGGACCCCAGGTAAAGTACCTTTTTAAGGACTTATAATCATATTAAGGAGCCCCAAAACGGTAGGATTCTTAGGGTCAAGGTAGGGTTTAGGGTGTATGCATACTTTGGGGGTCCAGGTAGAGCCTTAACCCTAAACCCTTAAAGGAGCCCTTAAACTTAACGGAGCCCTGGATGGCTAGAGCCATAACTGGGTTCTTCTTAAGGGGTTTAATTTGATTAAGTTAGCAGAACCAGAATAAGGAAACCATGTTATCTACTATAGATCCCCATTATGGTAACTTAAGTTAAGTCCCTTAACCCTAAACCCTAAAAGTCTGCGGGCCTCATTCCAGGCTCAGCAATGCAGCTGGTCGAAGCTTCATGGCCCGAGCCGGCATCGCTAAAGTTAAAGGGTATCTTTAGAGTTTAAGGACTAGGATTTAGAGTTTAAGGTTTAGGATTTAGGGTTTAAGGTTTAGGATGTAGAGTACGGTTTAGGATTTAGGGTTCAGGGTTTAGGACTTAGGGCTTAAGGCTTACGGTTTAGGCTGGAGGGTGTATCCCTGGACCCCCAAAGTATGTAGAATAATTGTGGTTTACAGGTGTTGGGCCATGATTTTACCTACGTTGGGGGTTTAGTCCTTAATATCGGCTCAGGGTTTAGGGAACAGGGTTTACGGTGTACGGCTTAGGGCTTTGGGTTTAGGGGTTTAGCATTGAGGCTGTAGAGTTTATAGGGCGTAGGGTTTCTTTTTGAGGGTTCTTTTAAAGGTGCGTGTGCCTACGAGTTTTGGGGTTTGGGTTCTGGGCCCGGCTTTACCGGCTTGTAAGTGGGCTTTTGGAGGCGTTCACAAGGTTGAATGAAGGCTTGTGCACCTCAGTGATTATGCTCTGTGCTAGGTCTTGGGGGCTGAAATAATCATGAGCTGGTTAAGGGCTCAGAGGTACATGCTGCCGGGCTTAGTAATCATTGGGATATAGGGTTGCGCTTGAAGACATGGGTCCTTCAGATCCAGAGAAGGCCCCTTGCGCTGCTGTTCTATCCCAGAAATCACTGAGTTTTTCAGGTTCCCAACAGTTGTGAGGCCCTTGGGGTACAGGGGAATTCCTGGTTCTTAGATGTCTGAAATTAAAATAATTACCGATAATGGGCCCCAAAACCTTATTCTAATTATCAAGGCCCCTGTGTTTGAGTGGCACATTCTTATAGAAGAATGATACGCGGACTGTACGGGGATACTATTCGCTCGACGTACCTGCCTCTCAACGTCGCGTGAGCCTCTATGTGTACAGGGCCTTAACGATCAGAATACTTCAGAATTGGATTTTGGTACACATTGTACTACAATCTCTGCTGCTAGGAGGTGTGCTTGGGACTAGTCTTCTTAATAGGTCTATGGATCCCCTGGTCCACCCTGATCAAACAAATGTGATCCCGGGCTTCAGTTCAGCTCTTGAGGGTGAAGCTTACTCTCCAAGCCGGAGTACCGTTTAGGGTTTAGGGTTTAGGGTTTAGGGTTTTACCTGATTGTTCTTATAATAAACGGTCTTGTAAGCAATAGTATGAAGTAAGCTTACACTACGGCTCTATACTGTTTTGAGTTCTTGGGCCTCGAACATCAAGTCTAATGCTCAGGGCGGTGTCTTTCGCCCAGATCGACAGGCCACTTCGACAAGCCCAGCGTTCTTTCAACCGGGCTGCGGATAGTGATTCAATGTCGGACTCAGGTACCCTAAGCCCTTAATCCTAAACCCTTTAGACCCTAAAACCTGAACTGTAAACCCTACACTCTGAAACCCAAAACCTAAACCCTGAACTCTAAAGTCTTTAGACTCTAAACCCTAAACTCGAAACCCTAACCCCTTAACTCTAAACCCTAAACTCGAGACCCTAGCCCCTTAACTCTAAACCCTAAGCTTATAAGTCCTAAGCCCTAAACCCTGAACCCGGGATGGGGGTGGGAGATCTTCAACCGAAACCCCAGGCCTGCAAGGCCCGACCTCTTAGGGTTCCACAATACGGCTGATGACCTAAGTCCTGCATTACCCATGGGCTCCTAAGTAGTGCATTTTTTATGGTTCAGATTTAGACTCCTATAAGGTAGTCCCAAAAGGAACTACTAAGGAAAGGAGCCTATGGGTATCCATAATCAGGAAAACACAATGATTCCCATAGTTTAGGGTCCTTAAGGTAAATGCTGCATTTCTACCATCAACAGTAGGGTCGCCTTCTCAAGGGAACGAAAGGGCTCCATAATAGGGTCCCCTTCAAGGGAACTCTAAGCCCTAAACTCGAAACCCTAAACCAAACCTATGCGTTTAGGGTTTAGTGGTTTGGGGGCTTAGGGTTCTAAGGCTTGGGGTCCCTGTAAAAGGGAACTTGGGTTTGCATACTCATAGCGCTGCTTGCTTAAATGGGATGAGAAGTTGAAGTGGTCCGTTTAAGCAAAGCTCTGTTACTGAAGTAAAGCTTCATGGCTTTGGGCCTATTAAAGTCAAGCGCATATGGCTTTGGGTTTAGGGTTTAGGGTTTAGGGTTTAGGGTTTAGGGGGCCCAAGATGTGATCATTAGGCTAGAGTCAAGTGCCCTCGACCACGCAATTCGAGCCTGGTCAATCTGCGACACCGTCTCAGCAGCTTTGGCCACGGCTGCATCTGTAGCCTTTCTCCGGTTTGAAAGATCTAGGTTGAAGAACTTTGGATACAACCCCACCAAAAAATCGAAATAGTCAAAACTCTGAAAACACAAACCGAGAAGCCTGAACCTTGCATCCTAAGGCTAAACCCAACACCCAGCCCGAACTAAAGCCTCAAGGATTTAGGATTTTGTGGGCGTCCACCGTCAGCAAATTGCAGCATAATTATTCAATGGTTTAGGGTCTAGGGTTTAGAGTTGCGAGGAATATCCTACACCCTAAACTGGCCCCCAAAACCCTAAACCCTGCAAGGTGACATAGCATATTCTCCGTCAGCAACAGCAAGTCCTAGTCAGTACTTACAACCCTACTTGTAAGTCTCCATGACCTACCCAACATGTCCTGTACGCCCTACGGCTCAGGATATTGTAAATCCTGCATTGCCAATAATTAGGAATATACCATAATTCCCATAGTTCCGGGTCCTTGAGGTAAATGCAGGGTTTGTATCATCGACAGTAGAGCACCGAGAAAACCCAAACCCCCGCAAACCCCGAGCCGACAACACACAAGGTCCTTTTAAGCTTCTCCACGACATGACCGCTGCATGCCAGTCTTCCATGCTGCCGTCAGATTTCAGAGTCTGGGTAATGCGCAAACATGCAGAAGAACTCCGCCACATGTAGATGACTAAGCATGGCCGCCTGAAACAACTGAGTTTGAAGGTGGGAGGACATGACATCGTGCGAGCCCATGAGCTGCTTTCGAGGATCGACATTGATGAAGCGAGATAGCTTTGTGCCGAAGGGGGAGGAGTGGCGGAAGGCCCCGGTAGCGCACATCCACCATCGCAAGTGTTCAGGTCATTGTCGAGATCGCAAGATATCCACAACGACGGGGCGTCGCACAGCGCAGAAGAAGTCGTTACCTCGGGAATGCCGAGTCTCATCGCTTCAACTACAACGAACCTTCAACCCCAAATCGACCCGCCCTCCTCGCAAAGAAAGGGTCCCTGAATCCCAAAGCCTGCCCTAAACCCCTTTGCAAAACGCAAGGCTTGTTTGTTTTGGGTTTAGGGATGAGGGTTTATAGGGTTTAGGGTTTAGGGTGCAAACTGCTTGCCAAGGTACACAAGGCTGCATTCACCTGGACCATGCCATCCTCGAAGTTTACACCATACTTGTCGTGCTCATGGCCAAACAAATGAAGCCGGGGCCGTCTGTCTCGGACATTTGCCTAGGCATGTTAGAGGTTCTAATCGGGGCTTTGCCACCACGTTTTTGGGGTGGATTTGAGGGCTTCCGGAAATCTTGCTATGGCTGCATTCTGCAGACTATCTATGGCAATTGAGTTTACCCTACTATCCGGCTTCTTCCTGAGGCACTTGACCTAAATTACCATGACCCAGTATAGCCTTGTTGCTAAGACATCCACCTCCACACTTTTCTACACAGAACAAAAAATGCCCTAAACCCTAAACCGCCCAACTGCATGCCAGACTGGGCTTGCCATGGATGGTCCATGGGTCACCAGCACGTCGCAGTGCGGAGGAGGAATTGACAGGCGCTCATCGTCCGCAGTGGGCTGAAAGGCCCGATTCCTGGGTTCCGCAAGACATTCTGAGGTTGTCACTAATGTTGTAGGAGCCTAACTAATGACCAACACTATTTTGCCGGGGGGGGGGAGGGGGGGTCCTTATTATAACCATAGAATACTCATCCCCAAAACCCTATTTTAATTATTGAGGCCCCTACATACCAGGCCTTAAAATCGACTTGTAGCCTTCTACAAGGGAATAAAACACACCAATAGCAGTTTCTGTTTTCTGATGTGTAACTTAGATTAGGTTTCTTCGCGGAATACTAACGCAATGACATTTTCTAGTGTTTGATGGTAATTTAGATTGAGTTTCTGAACAAGAACCCAGATTCACCGACATCGGATTCACACGGATAGACCATGGGCAGCCTGCAACGACCAATCCGCCGGCATCTCGACTTGCGCACAGATCCGGGTGCAGATATCCTGGTCTACTATTCTTGGAAGCCGAATCGAACTCATTGCTGTTGATACGTGTTGATTTGTAGTTGTTGTTCCGACTGTAATATACTATAACATATCTACTACTTCAACTACTTTTCTTACTGTAGACCCTAAACCCTCAACCCTAAACCCCTAAAACCCCTAGAAACCCACAGCTTCCAGTACTATAACATATTGACTACCTGAACCCTATAAACCCTAAAGCTACTTTTTTAAATATAGAAACCCACAGTTTCCAGGAAGAGCCCAGTCTCTGACACCGCAGGGTGCGAGAATCTGGGCCATGCGCTCTGGTCCGAGGTCCTCGAAAGCTTTGTCGTGGTTGCCGCCTGCTTTCTGGTGCTTGCTTTGGGTTTAGGGCTTTAGGGTTTTAGGGTTTTTAGGGGTTTAGGGCTTTAGGGTTTGAGGAGTTTAGGGGTTTAGGGGTTTACGGCTCAGGGCTTAGGGTTAGGGGTTTAGGGCTTTGGGGTTAAGGGGTTTAGGGGTTTAGGGTTTAGAGGTCTTCCGGCTCATAGGGCTTAGGGCTTTGGGTTCAAGGCTCTTGGGGCTTCGGGAGGAGAGTGGATCCCCACAATGGTGGCTAATGTAGGGGCCTTAATAATTAGAATGGGGCTTTGGTTTATATTCTACTATAATTATGATAAGAACCCCCCCCAAAAAAAATAGTGTAGGTAATTAAGGCCCCTATATTACATGATGCCCTCTCGTAGCCCTGTATTCCTTCCTCAACGGGGCTCTTGCTTAAGCACCGGCCAGGCCTGTCACCAACTTCTCCCGGTGAGGCAAGGCGTGGAGCCAGGCAGCAAAGTCTTCCAGTTCCTTGACACCGTTGCCCCACTCTGCAAGGCAGTCTCCTGCATGGATAAGGACATCTCCGGCGGGAATCCAAACCTGCCGGTGGTAGAGGTGTGTATCGGACACCACAGCGAGCCGGGTGGTGTTAGGGCCAGGCTTTCGAAGTGCTGACTCTGTTGTGTATTTCCATTCACCAGCATCAACGTCGACGTACAAAACACACCCAGCCCGAAACCAATTGAAGCAAGCAGTGAAGAGCTTGTGTAGCCAAGACCACTGTGAGAGAAAGTCGTAGTTGATGTGCCGAAGCTTGCGGTAGCTTCCCTTGGCAAGATCTACCCAAAACCGGCCTCCGCAAGCCATGACCCCTAAGGGTCCTATGTAGCTATATACTAGAATGTAGGGTTTATCTATATCAGGGATGACTACTATGATTTAGGGAAGTATCCCACATAACGGTACATAGGTCCCTTTGGGGACTAACGCCGTGGTCATCAGCACCGGCAAGGTCGAGCGACTTCTTCGGCTTGGAAAATGCTGCGGTCATGGGAAGGTCAGGGACTAGTAGAACTTCATCACCCCGAAAGGACTCTAAACCCGCGCTAAATATATCCATATAGCACATGCAGTGTGTTTATATATATAATATATATATATATATGTATGTATGTACGTATGTATGTATGCATATGTAAATGTACTTATGTCTACCAGGTCATCAGGCTTGGGGCTTTGCGGTTGGGTGTAGGTGCTTACTAGGCACAGTGGTAGTCTGTACTGAAATTTCTAATTTTGGGGTTTAGGGCTAGGGTTTAAGATTCAGTTTGGGGTTTAGGGTTTAGGGTTTAAGATTCAGTTTGGGGTTTAGGGCTTGGTACATGTCTCCTCAACCCCCAGTCTTGACCTCATCTGCTGGCACGTGAACTTGAGCACTTCAACCCTGGAGGAAAGAGACATTGACACCCACACCTGCAATCCACCAAAGCCTGAGCCCTAAACCCTGAACCCTAAACCTGAACCCTAAACCCTACAACCCTGAACCCTGAACCCTAAACCCTAAAACCCTGAACCCTGAACCCTAAACCCTAAACCCTGAACCCTAAACCCAAAACCTTGAAGCTCTTGAGGCCCGCAGGCCGTGAGCTCCAGAAGCAAAACCTGGAGCCCGTAACCCGAGACTTGCTTTGGAACACAATATATTGAGCCTCAGGGTAATACGGTTCAGGGTTTAGGGTGGTAGCTACCGAGGCAATAGGGATACTAATGACCCCTAAACCCCAAACAGTACGGATACTAGTTACCTTTAATGTTTTGAGCCGTAGGGTCAGGGTCTAACTACCCAAGCAGTAGGGACACTAATTGACCTTAAACCCCAAACAGTATGGATACTAGCTACATATATTGTAGGAGATAGGATCAAGGGAAATCTTGGGGATATAGACGCTCTCGGTAAGGTCCCTTTTAACAGATCCAGAAGGAAGGTTTAGAAGGGTCCCCTTTAAGGGGCCTCCCTAGGAGCTATAAAACACCACTGACCTTTTAAGGGGAAAAACCACCTGACAAAGCCCATGGGGTTGTTCGTGTTTACGGTTTCGGCTCTAGGGTCATTTCAGCGCGCAGTAGACTGCAGTTGCCTGAAAATGCCAGACACTTGGAACAGCATTATCCTCATGCGCCTTTTCCAATGTAGAGGGTACTTCCTGCATTCATCATCGTTAAACCATGTTCCAACTTTTTCTGGAGCTTGTCGTAAAGCAACAACCCTACAACTACAACATAGATATCATCGCCTAAGATCCTCTGAACCCGTCCCTAAACCCTGAACCCCAACCCCCCAAAGCCCCAAATCCCAAACAGCAGCGCCCAACTTCAGCAGCTGCGCCTGCGAGACGCGACGCAAAGCCTGTCTCCACGGGTGATAGGGTCAGGGAAACGTTTAGGGCCTAGGTAAAAAGTTCAGGTTTTATGAACCCTCAACCTGAACCCCCTAAACCCTAAACCTACTATAAACCCTAAACCATAGGATCACCGGGGCTTAGGGTAAAAAGCCTCGGGATTAATTACGAACCTTGCAGCTGAAACACTAAACAATCAGGGTTAGGGTTTCGGGCGAAAAGCAGCCTGGGGGGACTTCGATAGTGAGTTGTAAGAATAGAGGCTGAAAAGGATCAGGAAACATAGCAAGTAGCTAACTTAGCAAGGGGCTATAAATGCTGCGAGAGTTGGTGGGTCAGGGGTGTTACTTTGAACAGGTCGGTAGGAGGAGGTGGTTTCTGTGAATTTCTGCAACAAGTACGGTTGTCTGACTTTCAGTATAAGGCGAGAAGAAGTTCGACTCGCGCTCTCAACCCTATAACCCCTATAAGCCCTAAACCGTTGCTTCAGGATCCGCAGTGCAAGAAACCCGAAGGTCAATGCAGGTCTTAAGATGCCAGGCCATATAGGGGCCTCAGTTATTACAACTATCGTATTCCCAGAGGCTCCCTTTATACTACCATTATGGAATCAAGTGCCCGAAACCATAACATGGATGGTCTTCTGGGACCGAATTAAACAATGGTACTCTCTCTCTCTATATATATATATGGTCAAATATATACATATATATATACATACATACATACATACATACATACATACATACATACACACACACACATACATATACATGTGGAGCCTCGAAGGATTGGTCATTTATTCAACTGGTAGCTATTTGAGCCCCTGCACTACCGGTTCGAGGTTTCACGCCCAACGGGTCGACAAGTATTCCCCATAAAGGTACCTAGGACCCCTTAAAATAGCGCTTTCATCCCCGATCCCTCAAATCTGAGATGTCACGTTAAGGATCTGATTCCGAATACAGTTTTACTGTTTTTTTGGTAACCTTACGAACCTATTGAGTTATGCTCTCAGAGCCAAAATGCGAACTATGGAGTGTCTGGGTCGAACCATGTGAATATGATGTGCGTACCTACCTCATCATCGCAAGTCCACAGCCAACAGCACCCAATTCGAACCACGCGAATGTTCTGTGCGTAGCTGCTAGACTACCTCATCATCGTTAGCAGCTACGTCCTAAAAATGCAAGTCCAAACGGATTCAAAGCTCATATATAGTAGAATGTAGGGTAGTATGACTTTAGGAAGTATCCCCCATAACAGTGCCTAGGACACTTTGCGAAACACAAATTTATTCGACAAAGAATCTCGGAGGATTCAGTACTAGGAGCCCGGCTACTTGAATGAACTTTCCTGTTCCCTACAAGCCTCAAGTAAGCCCTATAGCCATAGGCCGGTTACCATAAGGGCCCAAAGGACCCAAGAATTAGGTTCCTGGGTTTCGGATTGCAGATATGTAAGCTACTATTCGGGAGAGTATATGATTACTAGGTCCTCGACCCCAGGCGTTTCTACGTGGGTTGGGTCCCTTTTTAGGTCCCCACTATAGTTCGGCACCCTTATAAACAGAACCCCAAAAGGGACCCTAACTTAACGAACTACCCATGTAGAACCCGTACAATACCCGTATCGAATCCCTTAGAGATCCCTTTAAGGAGCCCTAAAAGGGGCCCTATTTATGTATGCAACTCGGCCGGTAAGATCATTTTTTGCCGGCACCACTCTGTCTGCGGCATGCCCTTGGCCCTCCAGATCCAAGTATGTCCAAGTTTAGGGTTTAGGGTTTAGGGTTTGAGCTCAGGGCTTTAGGGGTTTAGGGTTCTAGGGGTGCAGGGTTTGGGCCCATTCGGAGTTCAGGCTTTAAGGGTTTAGGCGGGTTTAGGGGTATAGGGTTTACCTGGGTATCCAAAACCTACCGTTTAAGGGTTAGACCCTATAATTAAGGGGTCATGACCTACTATTTCGTAGGGTTTGGGGATACAGATGGGGTCTATAGGCACCCATACATGGGCGCTATACGGGGTTTCTGTCTCTGCAACCTGGATCCTGAGGCAAGGCTACAGATGAGCTCCTGTCGATGTGGGAGCAAGACCCTACCAGGACCCTCTTGTACACTCAAACAAAGGAGTTGGGATTAGGGGGACCCTTGGGGATGTAGACCCTCTCAATAAGGTCCCTTTAGAGCCAGAAGTAGGGTAAAGGGTCCCCCTTTAAGGGGTCTCCCTCACACTACCTAGGAAATAATATGGGTAGTTATCCAAATTAGGGCGCCTACTCAGGGCTTTTTTCTTCCAAGGGTGCGTACTATTGGGGGGACTTAAAAAGGCCGGATCCTGATGTGGAGAACTACCGACATGGTCCCACATAATGTGTACTTACGACCCGTTATATTTCCTGGACTTTGAAGTAAACAGGGAGAATAAAGTATAGACTTTTATTTCATATTGGTTCCTTTAAGGAACAGGTCCAATAAAAAAGTAGTCAAGTATGGTACTCCAGAACCCAGTTTATAGGGTTTAACCCTTGAAACAATAGGTTTTTGCATATCCATGTTCAGGTTTTGCCCTTCGACCTACCGTATAGATCCTCAGCAACACCTGCGCCTGAATCTCTGCACCCTAGCCTCCACATCTACATCCGAAGCCCTAAACCCCTAAACCCTTAAACATAACACCGCTAAACCCTAAACCCTACGGAGCCTAACCCCCCTAAACCCTAAACCCCCAAACCTGATGAGGAGCGCCAATGCACGGACTCCCGAATCACCGGACTCTCGAGTCCCTAAGTCGGATGCCAGCCGATGTTGTTGAACACGCCTTTCAGCAGCTGAACACCTAATAGTGAAACACGTTCTTTGCCCGATATCCTAGGGGAACTGAAGGTTAAGCTTCGGGATCATATGGGGGGTCAGTACCTAAAAAGGGTTAAAGGCTATCTTCTGCTGCTCGGCTTATACTCGCAGAACGAACATGTGGTTGCAATTACCTGGAACTCTACCTGCACATGCCAGCCATGTAGGTAACACAGAGTGTCTGACCCTTAGATACGCAACATGCAGAAAATCAGCAGTTTTGTTGCGCGCTTCCTCATCACATGTTCTTGTGCTTAGGATCCATGTATTGTTAGAGTTTCCTATTTTCTCCCCCATCGAATCAATGGACCCTTGAATCCTAGAAGCCCCTAAAGCCTAACCAGTGCCAGGGCCAAAGCCGTAACGACAGGGCTCAGACCAGTTCGGAAGGAGTGCATTCTCGCCAGAAGGGCGCTGCAGAAATGCTCAACCCAGAGTAGGATGCAATGGTCGAGGCTCTGGGGCATGAGCAAGAAAAGGGTTTGGGGTTTAGGGTTATATAGGGGGGCCTGAGCCAAAAAACCGGGGTTTATGTGGATCAGTTTTCATATATGAGTAAAAGGACATATCAGCACGCAGATTTCAAGTCCCTCCCAAAACGGTTTTGGGGATGC